CCTCTCCAGCCCATCACCGCTTCACCCTCTGCCCCCAAGCGTGTTCTGGCCTCACAGTGTACATTGTCTTCCCTGGCCCGTCTCTGTATTGCCTGGCAAAACCCAACCTGGCCCTGTACTCAGCAGCCTCCGCCCTCACGCATTCATTCACTCATTCATTCAGCATGCTGCCTGTGCACCCCTGGCACTCATGGAGCTAAGGTAGAGGTTGGGGAGATAAACAAGAAACCGGCCAGTACTGTCACCACAACAAACAGAGCTCACCATGTTCCCGTGTCTGCTCTTTGTCCTGTGTCCTCACCATCCCCGAGGACATTCAAGCCAAATCTGAACTTATTCGTTTACCCAAACTTTGTGGGACATCATTACAGCTGGCATGGTGTCAGCTGGCCTGGCAGAGCATGGTTGGGGAGGGTGTTGCTTGCAGAGGGGCACTGGTGGGGGCGGGGCTGGCATTCCCCACGAGCCTGGGGGAGGTCAAGTTGCAGGAGAGCGAGGCTGAGCAAGGAGTCCCTGGAGCACAGGCCCATTCCCCTCAGCCTCTGCCCTGTCTCTGTTGTGCCCTGATTAAGGTGGACACTGGCCCCACCAAGCCTTTCCCAGTTCCCTGGGAAGTGGCCTCTGGACGAAGCAATGCATCTGCCTCTCCATGGGTAGGTGGGTACCATGAGGTCAGGGGGGTGTGAGCAAGAAGCAGCAAGGGCGCTGAGACCCGGGAGCATGGGGCCTGGACCCTGGTCCTGGCCAGGCCCCCTCTGGTGCTTGCACTGCCGCTCCAGGGTTGCCGACCCCAGCTGATCTTGCTGAAGGGCAAAGGATGGGCTGACCGGCTCCCAGTACTGGCTCCAGCACCAGCTAGCCGTGTGGCCTTGGACGGGGGTCCTCCCCAACTGGTATCTTGCACTGCAAAATGGGAGTGCCAGCACCGACCTTGTAGGGCTGTTGCGAGGATGAAGGGATGGGTGTGCAAAGGGCTAGGCCGTCCCTACAGTCACAAGAACCTGCCCAGCACAAGGAGGGCTGGCGAAGGTCCCGGGTCAATGTGGCCTCACAGGTGCTTTTTATGAGAAATGACTCACTAAAGGCTCAGACTGGTGATGAGAGGGGCACAAGGAGGTTTACGCTCCGTTTGCTCCAGACACCTGATGTCCAAAGGAATCAAAAGAAAAGGGAAGGGGAAGTCTGTGTGCGAACCTGGTGTGGGCTCTGAGATTGGAAAACAGTTTCTCAGATTTGGACTCTCCAAAATGTCACTGCTTTGCCTGAACTCTGCACCAAGGACCTGAGCACCAGCCCTCACGGGGCCTGTCCCCTTCTTTCTGCCCTTCCACGCTTTAAGCCTCCCTCTTTCCCATCCCAGAGAAAAGGCAGTGCCTTTTCATAGCCCTTTCCCTTAAGGGGTCAAGGAAGGAGCCATAAACTCCAGATCCCTATGGAGTTCAGACTCTAGCTCCTGCCACATAGTTTCGCCTCCTTTGGGTGCACCCCCGACACCTCCAAGGGCTTCTTCTGCCGTTTACTCCCCAGCGTGGTCTCACTCACCTGCCACTGGACTCCCCTGCCCCATTCCTGGCCTCAAGATGTCCTTTGGCTCAGACACCCTCGTGGCCTCTGCCCCCCACCCTGGCCTGCCTCTTATTGCCTCCTAACCTCCTGTGGGGTATCCAAAGCATAAATTGGATCTTGTCACTCCCCTGGGTAAAACCTGCTCACAGCTGCTGATACAATGAAATAAACTCAGTTCTGCATGGCGGCTGGTGGTGCATTTGGCTGCAAATGACAGGAACAGTGTGCTGAATGAGAGGGATGTGACCAGCCTTCCAAGGCCAGGCTGACTCGGTGGCTTACGGCTGTGGTCTCTCCCAATGCACCTCCAGGCATCCTATCCCGTTTTCAGTGGGAGGCAGAGATCAGAGGTCAGAGATCAGAGGTCAGAGATCAGAGGTCAAGCGGTGTGCCACAGTGTGTTCTGCCTGTTTCACAGCTTTCTCAGAAGCTGTCAAGACATATGGCCAGCTCCGGCTGCAAGATAGTCTGGGGGCTGGGCGCGGTGGCTCACGCCTGTAATCTTAGCACTTTAGGAGGCCAAGGCAGGCGGATCACCTGAAATCAGGAGTTCGAGACCAGCCTGGCCAACATGGTGAAACCCCATCTCTACTAAAAATACAAAAAATTAGCAGGGCGTGGTGGCTGCGCCTATAATCCCAGCTACTCAGGAGGCTGAGGCAGGAGAATTGCTTGAACCTGGGAGGTGGAAGTTGCAGTGAGCCGAGATCGTGCCATTGCACTCCAGCCTGGGCGAAAAGAGTGAAACTCTATCTAAAAAAAAAAGACAGTCTGGGAAGGTGTTTTGATTGGACATACTGAAGCCCAGAACAAGTTGAGATTTCAAGAGCAGTTGGCACTTAGGAGGATCTGCCACTGTCCTCAAGGCACTGCCATGTGGCCCTGCTGTCCTCCAGTCCCTGCCTCGCCCCCCTTCCCAGCCCCCACCGACTCCTTCTACCTTGGGACCTTGGCTACATCTGCCCTTCCAGCTACAGCCTTGTGGTCCCTCTGCGGCCCCGTCTGCTGCTGCTCTTCCTCTAAGACTCTGCTGAGACGTGTCTCCCAGTTACGTTCCCAAACCTGACTGGAAAAGCAGATCAAGCAAAGTGTATCCAGTGAAATATGCCATGCAGCTGTCAGCAGGAAGGAGGACAGTTCAGACACACCGATACAGAGCCCTGTTGAGGGGTGGATTGTGGCCCCGAAAAGATCCGTTCAAGTCCTAACTCCAGGCAACTGAATTTGGCCTGATTTGGAACCTGGTCTCTGCAGATGTTTTTAGTTAAGATGAGGTCATACTAGCGTAGGGTGGGCCCTTAATCACATGTGACTGGTTCCCTTACACAAAGAGAAGACATGGAGACACAGACACACAGGAGAAGGGGGCAAGAGATGGAGGCAGCGATCAGAGTGATGCGCTTGTGAGCCCAGGGAGCCAAGGATTACCAGCCGCCACCAGAAGCTTGGAAGAAGCAGGGAACAGTTCATCCCTCAGAGCCCCCCAGATGAACCAACCCTGCCTGCAGCTAGAGTGTGGCCCTCAGAACTCGCAGAGGACACTTGGCTATTGTTTAGCCACAGTGTGTGGTGTTTTGTTACAGCAGCCCTAGGAGACGGATGCAATCTCCAGGATCACTGTCAAAAGGGAAGACAGCAAAGAACAGAACAGTCAGGACCTCGGCCACACTTCGTGGGGGGTGCAGATGTCCCCCTGCCTGCCATGCTGGCACTTGTGCAAGATGTGTTGGATGCCTTCCGGGAACTGGAGACTGTCCTCGACTCAGGAGAGGCTGGTCCCAGGGAGGTGGAAGGAGGTTTTCCTCTTCACTGCATAAGCCTGGGTTCTGGGGGTATTTTTAATCACCTTCATAGATCACTTATTTCAAATAAATTCACATCAGAGGCCGGGCGCGGTGGCTCACGCCTGTAATCCCAGCACTTTGGGAGGCTGAAGCAGGTGGATCACTTGAGGTCAGGAGTTTGAGACCAGCCTGGTCAACATGGTGAAACCCCATCTCTACTAAAAATACAAAAATTAGCCAGGTGTGGTGGCGGGCGCCTGTAATCCCAGTTACTCGGAGGCTGAGGCAGGAGAATCACTTGAACCCAGTAGGTGGAGGTTGCAGTGAGCTGAGGGCGCCACTGCACTCCAGCCTGGGCAACAGAGTGAGACTTCATCTCAAAATAAAAAAAAAGTTCAAATCAGGGAGAAAAGAAAATGTAAAAGAAATTCATTGAAAACAACAGCAGCACCGCTCCCTGCCTGGCAGATGTGTTGGTCGTGTGAGGCGGCTGGACTGGGAAGTGTGAGGCAGCTGGAAGCCCCCCGCCCCTTCACCTTGCTCCTTGCCGCACCAGCCCTCACTTCCGAATGGCTGGCCTGTCTGTGTGCTGTCCCCAGAGGGCAGGCAGCAGCAGGGGTCGTGGAGAAGCCCCAGGGTGAGCAGGGCTGGAGAAAGCTTTGTGCTCAAATCAGTTCCTGACAAGGGTCACGTTGGGGCCTTTCCAGAGAGTGCAGATGTGTGGAGAGATCCAGGGTGATGAGGACCACAGCCACAGGCGGACCAAAGCTGCCCTGAGAGATTCAGCCACCCAGGCCTACAGAGGCAAAGGGGCTACCAAACTGGACCTGGAGGAGCCAGGGAAGGGGCCCCTCTCTGTGCCCATGGCCAGGGTGTGTCCCTCACCCCTGGGAGCTTCCCCTGGTTTATTTCAGAGTAAAGAGAAATGAGAGGCAAGGAGACCCCGGGGGTCAACAGCCAGCTTCCTCGCAGCCTCCTGCCTCCCTGGAAGGCAGTAGGATTCAACAGGCACAGGAACTGGGGCCCTCCCCGACTCTCCCTGGTCAGTGGGCAGAGCTTCTTGGCTCAGCAGCTGGGAGGAACAGCCTCCAGGGCTGGTGGTTGCAGAGGCTCAGGATGCCGAGGGCTAACTCCAGGAGGCTGAACAGAACTGCAGGTGAGGTGTGCAGTGAGACCCACACCACACCTTTGGCAAAGCTCCAGGAAGCGCTCTCTGACCTCCTAAGTCAGGTTAGGTACAGTTGTGCCCAAGTTGCCCGGGTGGCTGAAATGGTCAGCTCCACTCAGACCTCCCCTCCTCCAGGAAACTGTTTTTGGGACACCTCCTGTCCCTGCTGCCCCGCCCGCCAGTGTCCCTCACCATAGGCCTCTCATTGCTGGGATGATAGCAGAGGCACTTCTGCTGAATGGCCAGGCTGCACCAGCGTATTCATAAGCTTTACGTTCCAATCCTCACGCCCTTCATTAGCTTGCCTTACAGATGAGAAAACAGGTTCTCAGATGTATCCGCAACTGCCCAGGTCACACGGCCAAGGTCGCTGTCAGGATCTGAGGGCACACACACCCCTGAGCTGACCCCTTCGACTCCAGGGCAAGGGTGTTGAATGAAGCCCTTTCCTCCACCATATGCAAAGGCAGCTTCTTCACCACTTAAAAAACAAAGAAAACTTTATTCCCTTGACAGTTTCTGTGCAGCGACACCAGGCTGTGCAAAGCCCAGTGTCGTCTTCATCAAGCACATTCCCCAGGATGCCTGGGATGGCCTTCTCCTGCCCCAGGCCCCAACTAGCCACCCCTGTGCCCACTAGCGGACCCTGTGCCTTCACAGGGATGAAGCCCTGGCTCTGAGAATGCCTAGGAGGCACCGTTTGCTGGGGAGCAAGAGGAACTGACCTTTGGCTTCTTTGTGGCTGGAGGTGTTCCAGCCCTGGTGAGGGGGATCCCTTATTGTTCTCTGCTGAGCCCTCTGCACACCTTGGGGGATCCTGGCTGGCGGGGATGGGTGGGCCAGAGACTCAGTTGTCCATCAGCTGGCCATGTCCCCATTTTATGGACAGGCAGCCTGAGGCCCAGAGGTGGAAGGATTTCTCCTTGCCACAGCTGCATCACACTTGAACTGTCGAGACCTCCACCCACTGGTCTGTCTGCTCCCCACGCTAGTCCCGTTGGCTGATATGGTGCCTCCAGCAGACTCTATGGCTTCCCGGAGGGTGGAGGGTCCCCAGTTCACCCTCCAGCAGGAGTGGCAGCAGCTGGGGTACCCCTAGCAGTGGCATGTGGAGAAGCTGGGGTATGCAGAGGATTCAGTTCTGCGACACCAGGAGGCACACCAAGTTTTCCTCTGTCCCTAACACAGACCAGAGGTGGCCCACCAGCCTCCCGGGTGGAGGATATGTGGAGTCAGGTCCCTGGGCAGCCCCTTGGTGGGCCATCAGAGACCCCTGGGAGCCAGCCTGCAGGCCAGGAGCACAGTGGGTGGCCAGCATCCCAGAAAGGGGCCGGAGTGTCTGCCTCAATTTCTAGGATAATGAATGGTGCAATGGCCTCAGCCAGGCCAGGTGCTGGTTGCCACTCAGACTAATCTCTGACCTGCGTGACTCTACAATGTGGGTATGAGGGTCCTTATTTCACAGATGAGAATACTGAGGCAAGTGAAGTTCTCGGCCAAAGCCACCCGGCTGATCAGCAAAATTCAGCCCAGGTCTGAGAGAGTCCACAGCCCCCGGCACCCGAGCAGAAGCACGGCAATAGACTCAGGGGCCCATTTATGTCTCAGGTTTCTGAGAAGGGGCCCGGAGGAAGGAGGGCGGGGTGAGCGTCACAGGCTCGAGGGCTGCGCCAGAGCAGGCCCCGCAGGAGCGGCGGAGGCGGCGGGCACAGCCTCGCCCTCGGGCCCGGCCTCTTCGCCGCGCGCGTAGGTGAGCACCACGGTGACCGTGGCGAAGGTGGCGGCGTTGACGGGGAAGGCGCGCAGCAGCGTGGACGCCAGTCCCCGTGTGAAGACGCGCCAGCCCTCGGCGCGGTAGCTCTGGCGCACGCAGTCCAGGATGCCGCGGTAGCGCGGGGCTCCCCGCAGCCCGTCGGCCTGCAGCCGTGACTTGACCACGTCCACAGGGTAGGTGGAGAGCCAGGACATGATACCCGACGTGCCACCTGCCAGCAGCAGCTTGGGCACCAGCAGGCGGTCGCCCGGCTCGCAGCCCAGCGCCCGCGTGAGCGCGTCGTAGGTGAGGAAGTAGACGCCGAAGCTGGGCGTCTCTCGCAGCAGCGTGGACACCATGCCCCGGTTGACGCCACGCAGACCCTCGTGCCCGTAGATCTGCACGAGGCAGTCCAGCGAGCCCTTGTAGGTGCGTGCCGGGCCCGCGTCCTGCAGCTGCAGCCGCGTCTTGGCCAGCTCCATGGGGCAGCAGATGACGCACTGGATGGCGCCCGCCGCCGCGCCTGCCAGGAACTGGTTGAGGGGCGAGTCGTGGCCCAGGGCCCGGAGGGTGTTGCCCTGTACCCCGAACACCAGCGCGTTGATGAAGGTGAGCCCCATGAGCGGCGAGCCCAGGCCCTTGTACAGACCCAGCACCTGCGGGGGCAGAGACGCCATCAGAGCCGGCAACACGCACCTCCTGGGCCCTCCACGCGGAGAGGGGTCGGAGGATGGCAGCCCCAGCCCACCCCAGGGGCTCCTGAGGACCAAGCAGAATTTCATTGTAACCTAGGTCCTGACTGGCCTCCTGGTCATCCTGACACCTTCCTTCCTGGCTCTCTGGTCTGGGGTGGTGGCAGCCCGGAGGCTGGTTCCCCATCCTGTGCCTCCCAAGCCCTACCAGCCCAGGCCACTCACACTCTCTTGCTTGATGATGGACTTGAAGCAGTGCAACGTCCCGCGGTACTGAGGCTTCTCCACGCTCTGGACCTGAAGCCGCACCTGGAAGGAGAAGGTCCAGTGAGAGGCATGCAGGCAGGGCCAGAGCACCCAGCTCCCGGGTCTGGCACTCAGGCTGCCTGGGAGGGTCTCCTAAGGAGGCTGGGCACTCAGGCACAGTCTAAGACTTTTGTAATTCCAGGGCAGGGCGGACCGGGTATCTATGCCTTTTCAGGATGGGGTGCCGGTGGGCAAACAGCTACAGGGACAGGCTGCTGGAGACAGGGTAGGGGGTCCCCAAGATCTCAGACCAGTTGAGGTTAAGCCTCTTGTTTACACTATGGCTGCACAGTGCACTGCTGGTGGGGCATGAACGACCTCCTGAGACCGGCCCGTTCTCCAGGTGATGCTTGTCATACTGCTGAGTGGGCAGCCCATGTCCCAGACCAGGCTGAAGGTCCCCTGCCCTAATGTCCCATCAGACTGGCTTCGAGGCAACAGGTGCAAAAAGTGATGAGCCTGGCCAGGTGCAGTGGCTACATCTGTAATCCCAATACTTTGGGTGGCCGAGGTGGGTGGATCACTTGAGGTCAGGAGTTCAAGACCAGCCTGGCCAACATGGCGAAACCATGTCTGTAAAAAAAAAATTAGCCTAGCATGGGGGCACATGCCTGTAATCCCAGCTACTCAGGAGGCTCAGGTAGGAGAATTGTTTGAACCGGGGAGGCAGAGGATATAGTGAGGTCACGCCACTGTACTCCAGCCTGGGCAAGAAAGCAACACTCTGTCTCAATAAATAAATAAATAAATAATATAAGCAATGACCTTGGCTCCAGGAGCTCCTGCCTGGTCTCTGCAAGTAGCCTCTAGTGAGAACAGCAGTTATGAGTTAACAGAGCAGTGGCAAGAGAACAGCCAACAACCTCCTTGGGGACCCACGTCAGCAGCTCTGGGGCCTGGGACGCTGCTCAGGCCCCGCCACCTCCGAGCCCAGTGGCCCAGAACCTCTTCCATGTCAAAGCGTTCTTTGTTGCCTATGAGCTTATCTCTGCTCGACAGGAGGCTCAGACTTGCAGAGCGGGGGGTGGGAGTAAACTAGGTCAAGTCACATTCTCAGGGGCTGATTCCCTAGGTCTGACTCAGCAATGATCATTCTTACAGCCAGGGCCACAAAGCAAGTGCCTTTGGTACTAGGCAGCATGAGACAGGGGAGGGCTTCACACTCAATTATCTTGGCATTGGGACAACTGCCCCCATTTCCAAGATGGGAAGACTGAGGCTCAGAGATGTTTTACAACTTGGCCAAAGTTGTCTTCTCCAGGGACATGAGTGGCTGTGTTGGTCAGAGTGAGGGTGGGAGGGAGTGTTGGCAAGGGAGAGCCCTCACCGGGAACAGCCAGGCTTCTGCCCAGATTCTGGAACCTTTTCCAATTCTCTCCACCAGAATAGGTGGGCCCTCTATTGGTGAATGCACTTACAAAAAATGTTTTGTTAGGAAACAAGTACCATCTCAGTACGCCCAGGACCTCAACAGCTGGAAGCCAATGCTTCAAGATTGGCCCGAAGCACCCCTCCCACCCTGGAGGTCCAGTTCTTGGCCAGCACCTTGATGCGAGGTTTGCTGCTTTCCCTTCAATGTTCTGGGGTCTCTGGGGGGATCTCTCTGTTCCTCCTGCAGGCCCAACACTGGGACTAAGAGGGCTGTGTGAATAGAACCGATGTGACGTGGAGCTATCCCTTCCCAGGTTGGATACTCAATGCCACCTGGGTAGTGTTGTGAAGTCTTTGCAGGTCACATACACTGGTGAACGCCCAAGACCAGCAGCTCGGGAATGTCAGGCTCAGGTCAAGTCAGCTTTTCCCACCAATGTGGGCAGAGGTCTCTCCCTACTTTGTTTCTGACCCCTCAGTCTGTGACGAGCCCTCGCTCTCTGGGAGAGGAACTGTGGCCCAGCATCCCAAGTCTTGTCATCTACGGCTCAGGCTCTTAAAATCCTGGGGTGACAGGCTCTCCTTTGAGGATTGATGGGAACGACCCACCCCTGGGAAACTAGTCATTTGGACACAAGTTTAGGAAGCTCCCAGCTCCCCATAGGGCTGAGAGACCCCCACATGAGGACCCCCAATCCAGAGGGGGCTGATTTTTTTTCGACCAGCCCGAGCCCCCACCCCAGGATCTGTGCTGGGCCCAAGCTTGTCTCACACCCTCCCTGTCCCCTGCTACGGAGGGAACTCTGGGGTTGGGGAGATGGACACGACAGGGTGGGGTCCAGGCTGGGGTCTGGTTCACCTGGTCTGTACTTACTAGCGCTCTCCAGGGTGAGGCTTACGCCCATCTACAACAAAGTTACACTTTTGCTATGGATGGAGACAGCCCCTAGCTCAGAAAGTAAAGGCGGTTAAAGCAACACAAAATTTCAACATCACATCCAGGCACGGAGCCCCCACAGCCAGCCCCCACCCACCCTCCCCATCCCCTGCCCAGGGATAGCCGGTCACCCCCTCATCACAGGTCAAGATGACTGCTCCCTGATGAAAGTGACTGTTTCCTGATTATTGTTGTGTCCAAGGAAGCAGGACAGAAAATTCCCTTCGTGCAGAACCACGTGTGAAGGCCGTGTGCTCCAGGACGGGGGCTGTGGTTCTGGGCGCTATAGAGGAGATCCAGATCTTGGATTCTTTCAGTCCCAAGGGTCTGGGGGAATAAACTGTGACTGTCCCAGCCATGAGATAGTCTGTGGCCATGTGACAGTACAGACTGACATGGACGCAGGTCGCCTCTGATGATTCTAGGGTACAGCTGCAATTATATTAAGTTCAAACCAGGCAAAAGGGGCCCGTGGTGTTGGAAGTGAGGACAGTGGGCCAGGCCTGTCATCCCAGCATTTTGGGAGGCCAAGACAGGAGGATCACTTGAGCCCGGGAGCTTGAGACCAGCTGGACAATGTATCAAGACCCCATCTCTACTAATAACTTAAAAAAAAAATTAGCTAGACATGGTGGTGTCTGCCTGTAGTTTCAGCTACTTGAGAGGCTGCGGTGGGAGGACTGCTTGAGCCTGGGAAATCAAAGCTACAGTGGGCTACTGCACTCCACCTGGGGTGACAAAGCAAGACCCGTGTCTCAAAAAAAAGGAGGAAGTTAGGCCAGTGGAAGCCTCGGAAGAAGGGGCGGGAGGAGTTGACAGGAGCAGGAGTGAAGACTTCCAGAGGGCTGGCCATGTTCTGTTTCTCCTGGGTGGCGGCTCCCCACGCCTGTGCTTTGTGATGACTTGTACACCTAGGATGTGTGCACTTTCTTTTTTTTTTTTGAGACGGAGTCTCGCTCTGTCACCCAGGCTGGAGTGCCGTGGCACGATCTCAGCTCACTGCAAGCTCTGCCTCCCAGGTTCACACCATTCTCCTGCCTTAGCCTCCCGAGTAGCTGGACTACAGGTGCCCGCCACCATGCCAAACTAATTTTTTGTATGTTTAGTAGAGACAGGGTTTCACTGTTAGCCAGGATGGTCTTGATCTCCTGACCTCGTGATCCGCCCACCTCAGCCTCCAGAAGTGCTGGGATTACAGGCGTTAGCCACTGCGCACGGCCGGATGTGTGCACTTTCTACATGTGCTGGACCTCAACTAAAAACAAACAGTAGCCAGGCGTGGTGGCACATGCCTGTAATCCCAGCTACTTGGGGGGTTGGGGAGGTCTGAAGCAGGAGAATCACTTGAACCCAGGAGGAGGAAGTTGCAGTGAGCCAAGGTCGCACCACTGCACTCCAGCCTGAGTGACAGACACAGACTCCGTCTCAAAGGAAAAAAAAGTTCAGCTTTTTAAGGTAGGTATGTCCAGATGTGATGCTGGAGCGACACAGTGGCAAAAAAAAAAAAAAAAAGATCACAAATAGATCTTCTCAAAGACCACCCTCCAGACAGTGAAGTAGGGTCTGGGGAGTAAAATTTCATGGGCTGGAGAAACTCCTGTCCCTGAGTCACATCAGGGATGCTGCTCGCGGGCTCAGTGGCTCAGGACGGCGGAGCACCAGGACGAAAGTGCTCCCCGGCCTGCCAGGGGCTGAGGGGGCCGGGCAGGAGCCCAGCAGGTCTGGCCGATTCATAGCTCAGAGAGCCTAGGCCTCCGCAGAGCTGGAAAGAGGAAGTGAATGCGAGGCGCTTCTTGGTTGCAAGAGGCATTCACAACACATGACGAGGAGATATAAACACAGTGCAACGTGGACACTGCCAGGCCGTCCTGGGCTGCTCTGGCCTGGGGGAGGCTTCACAGGTGGCCTGGCCAGGCAGCGCGTGGGCACGGCTGGGGCCGGGGGCTGTGTGGGCAGGCTCTGCACAGCCTCACTCTCGGCAGGCTGGTGCATGAAACGTGGGGCCGCTGCCTGCCAAGGAAGCCTGGCCCTTCAGCCTCCTCCACAAATTGGATGGAAGAGTTGTGCTTTTCAGAGCTAGCATTTAATCCAACATAAATTATGCTGTTGAGCACTGGCACGATGACAACGTTTGAGCCTAAAGATACAGGGACCTGCCCAAAGTCATGCAGAAAACCAGCTGGCAGAGGGGCCCGGACCTGCACAAGGCCCAGGGACAGAGGGACAGAGCTTTTTAAGGTCACAGCCAATGCATAAGGCCGGGCCCTCACTCTTGTGCTGGATGCAATCCAGCCTTATGGTAAGCAGTCACTGTCTCTGCCAACAAACACCTGGGCTCACTAGAAAAGGAGACCGGAAGTCTCCTGCCAACCCAGCTCAGGATGTGCATCCTGCCTTGCCTTCCCTCAGTGGGAAGAGGGGCCACGTGTAGTGCTGCCCGCAAGCACAAGGCTGGTCTGGTGCCCGCCACTCACAGCTTGCCTTGGGGCCCAGGGAAAAGGGTAAGGAAGGGCCCCACTGGGCTACTTTCAGAACATACAGCCCAACCACAAGTGGAGGGTGGGGGATTTATTTGGGAATTGCCAGCTGGAGGACACAGAATTCCTTGGTTTCCATTCCGGGGGGTCTGAGAACCTGGAACTCCGGTTTATGGAGGTGTGGGGTGTTGTCAAGGAACCGGCTAACAGAGCCCTTCCTCACGCCTCTGGCACATGGGAAACTATCACTCGGACTCTCCGTAAGGATGATCACCACTCTGTGAAGATCATGTTCATGGGAGGTACAAGTTTTGGCTTTTTTGTATTTTCTCTCTGAACTTTCTTTCAAGGAAGTGTTTGGGGGAGTTCCGCATGGGAACAATGTGGGTGCCCTTGCTCTGGGTGGGAGGAAACCTCAGCACCTCGGTCCCAGCTGGCCAAGCCCAGGATGGACTTGGCCATGAACCCAGGATGTGGATCAGCCCCAGCTGGGAGATGCCAGGACGAAGCAGCAGGAAGGTTCAGCCCGGCGCGGTGTAAAAGCAGCTGCCCACCTGGGGCTGTCCACGGAAACGGGCTTCCAGCCACCCCAACCCTGTGAGCCTCTTTCCAATGTACGCACCGAGAAAAAAAAGCAGCGATGAGACTCACCTTGACTGTGTCAAACGGGTGTCCCACAAGCACGCCTGCCACACCTGGAGGAGGAGAGGGGGACTTGTGACCCACATACCTCAGAAACGCAGTGCAGGGCACTGGGCATGAGGGGGTGCTGGCAAGGAGGACTGGCAGGAGCTCCTGCAGGGGAAAGGGGCATTGCCCAAGCACCTGTGGGTGCAGCAGGCAGATCCCGTGAGCCCCTGGAATCCTCATGTCCAGTGGGGGAGTATGCATGTGACATCCCAATGCCATGCCAGTATCTGTCCCATTGAGCGCTGGTGACCCATCTGCAGGCTGCTGCTCTCCACAGCGGACTGGTCTGGGTGCCTGACAGGGGAAGCTGTCCCCTGGGAGGCTGCACACACCATTTCTGGGATGTCCCATTAATCCAAACACCTGACATGGGCAGGAGGCTCCAGGGATGCTGGACTTTGGGGTCAGACCCTCCCCAGATTTGAATTTTCCCCCTGCCATGCATCAGCCTGGCGTGCTCACAAATGACTCTGTCTCTGGGTCTCACTTTCCTTACCTGTAAAGGTTTACCTCCCTCCCCCAGGTCGTGATGCAGTGGCTGACACCCCCGTCCCCTTCCCTGAGTGGGAGCCACCTCGAGCCCAGGGAGACAGCTTGTGACTGTGAGGTCATCCTTGGTTATTATTTCAGGTCCTGCCAAAAATCCAGCCCCTCTTGAAGGACAAAGGTTCACCCCTCCAAAACGGCTCACTAACACTTCTCAGAGTCCTAAACACTGTGTAGGTGGCAACCATCTCTGAGTCTTGCCACCACTGTGAGTAAGGCAACCTCATTATCCATTTCACAGGAGAAACAGGCTCAGTGAACTGACTCTGACTCCCTTGCTCCTCTCCCTGGAGTTTCACCTGGACATCTGTTCAAGCTCTCCTTTTACTGCCAGTAGTGTTTATGTATAATTAAAACAGCTAGCATCTGTTGAGTAACAAACTAACATTACAACCCATTCTCACTTTTCCACTTAATGCCTGTGGAAGTTACTATGCATCTCCACAAATTGAACTTTGTATCTTTACCTAACATCCTCTGCATCCTTTAATTTTTTGGATCTGGCCAGGTGTGGTGACTCATGCCTGTAATCCCAGCACTTTGGGAGGCCAAGGCAGGCAGATCACTTGAGGTCAGGAGTTCAAGACCAGACTGACCAACATGGTGAAACCCCGTCTCTACTAAAAATACAAAAATTAGCAGGTGTGGTGGCGGATGCCTGTAATCCCAGCTGCTCAGGAGGCTGAGGTGGGAGAATTGCTTCAACGCAAGAGGCAGAGATTGCAGTGAGCTGAGATGGCGCTACTGCACTCCAGCCTAGGTGACCCACAGAGCGAGACTCCGTGTCAAAAAAAAAACAAAAAAAAAAAACACATAAAACTTTGGACCCTAAAACCCACTTGATATTAACTTTAACTTTGCCAATTCTGCTTTCTCTTTGGTTACATGTGACTGGTATGATTTTGTCCAACTTGTAATTTTGGTGTCTTTGTTGAGACAAGATCTCACTCTGTCACCCAGACTGGAGTGTACAGTGGCATAATCTCGGCTCACTGCAACCTCCATCTTCTGGGCTCAAGCGACCATCCTGTCTTAGCCTCCCAAGTAACTGAGACAACAGGCACGAGCCACCACACCCAGCTAATTTTTGTAATTTTGACAGAGACGGGTCTTGCCATGCTGCCCAGGCTGGGTTCAAGAAAACTCAAACTCCTGGGTTCAAGAAAACCCAAGCCTCCCCAAGTGCTGTGATTACAGACGTGAGTCACCGTGCCCAATGTGTAATTTTGAACCTTTTCTTACTATCTTGTTTTAGATGTTTTTTGTAAGCCACTGTAACTGGATTTTGTCTAAAGCAGTCTGATTTTGCTGGAACAACTGAGGGATCTGACTTTTTATGCCACTTTATTTTATGTGAATGGTTTATTTTACTCCTTTTTCCATATTTTTGATGGTTTGGGAAAATTACTATTCATTCCCTTTCTCTTTTTGAGATAGAGTCTTGCTCTGTCACTCAGGCTGGAGGGCAGTGGCACAATCTCGGCTCACCGCAGCCTCTGCCTCCCAGGTTCAAGTGATTCTCCTACCTCAGCCTCCCGAGTAGCTGGGAGTACAGGTCTGTCCCACCACACCCAGCTAATGTTTGTATTTTTAGTGGAGAAGGGGTTTTGCCATGTTGGCCAGGCTGGTCTAAAACTCATGACCTCAGTCATCTACCTGCCTTGGCCTCCCAAAGTGCTGGGATTACAGGCGTGAGCCACCACGCCCAGCTATTTATTCCCTTTCTAATTGTTAATTTGTAATTTCAGCAAAGGGTTACTTCCTGTTTCTAATACTTCTAATCATTATATAGAAACAGTGTAAGCACCGCCTCCCCCATGACTCTGTCTGCCTCCTTCTGTCCCGCCCACCCTAGTAAGAGCTACGGGGAAAAAGGCTCCCATCCCTGCCACCTTCTACTGACATTTTCTTAGAGACCGCGAGACTCAATTCACAATTCCCTCGCCTTCCATCTTGGGGTCTCTACTCATCAACTGCCATTTCATTAGAGCCTTTTTTTTTTTTTTTTTTGAGACGGAGTCTTGCTCTGTATCCCGGGCTGGACTGCAGTGGCCGGATCTCAGCTCACTGCAAGCTCCGCCTCCCGGGTTCACGCCATTCTCCTGCCTCAGCCTCCCGAGTAGCTGGGACTACAGGCGCCCGCCACCTCGCCCGGCTAGTTTTTTGTATTTTTAGTAGAGACGGGGTTTCACCGTGTTAGCCAGGATGGTCTTGATCTCCTGACCTCGTGATCCGCCCGTCTCGGCCTCCCAAAGTGCTGGGATTACAGGCTTGAGCCACCGCGCCCGGCCGAGCCTTTATTTTTTTATTTTTATTTTTATTTTTTGAGACAGAGTCTCACTCTGTCACCCAGGCTGGAATGCAATGATGCGGTCTCAGTTCACTGAAACCTCCACCTCGCAGGTTCAAATGATTTTTGTGTTTCAGTCTCCCGAATAGCTGGAATTACAGGCTCCCGCTACCACGCCCAGCTAATTTTTGTATTTTAGTAGAGGCGGGGTTTCACATGTTGGCCAGGCTGGTCTTGAAGTCCTGACCTCAAGTGAGCCACCTGCCTTGGCCTCCCAAAGTGCTGAGATTACAGGCTTGAGCCACCAAGCTTGGCCCAAAATCTATTTCTTTTTTTTTTTTTTTTTTTTTTGAGATAGAGTCTTCCTCTGTCACCCAGGCTGGAGTACAGTGGCGCGATCTCGGCTCATGCAACCTCTGCCTCCCGGGTTTAAGCAATTCTCCTGCCTCAGCCTCCTGTGTAGCTGGGACTACAGGCGCCCGCCACCACGCCCAGTTAATTTTTGTATTTTTAGAGACAGGGTTTCACCATGTTGGCCAGGAGGGTCTCAATCTCTTGACCTCGTGATCCACCCACCTCAGCCTCCCAAAGTGCTGGAATTACAGGCGTGAGCCACCAAGCCCGGCTCAAAATCTATTTCTTAATCTGGTTGGGAGAATCCTGGGCCCAGGCCAGCCTTGGTCCTCTGGCTTTCAGTGCTACCGATGAGAAATCTGCTGCCAATGTGGTGTTGTTCTTTTTTTTTTTTTTTCAATTCTGTGGGGAGGTCACTGACATTTTATCTGTGGATTTCAAGAATGTCACCAGGAGATGCCAAAGGTGTGTCTTTTTCTTTAAAGTAACCCTTCCTGGAACAACACCAACACTTTCACTGTGCAGAAAATTTCCACTATTATTTATTCATCATATTCATCATCTCCAGACCTGCTCCCTCTTGTTCCAGAGCCTCTAACATTCACAGGCGGATGAAGAAGCAACCACCAAGCCTATCGTTTCTTTCGTGACTTCCATCTGGGTTTCTGGTTTTCTAGGAGGCCTTTGTATCCTGGAAACAGGAAATCCATCCTGTTTCCCACTTCAGCTTTTTAATTTTCTAAATTTGAAAATCCTAGTTCTAGAACCTCTTTTCTTGGGCAGTATCTGGGTTTCTCTGGGTTTTGGAAACTGAACACTTGCCCAGGATGTGCCGCTGGACTTTACTTCTCCCTCCAGCGGGGGGCGTCTCGAGGCCCCTCCATGTCCCCTGAAGCTAGGTCCAGCTGTGGGGTCCCCTTCCTGTGGGTGCATGGTCACGCCTCTGGCCCCAGACCTGCCCAGGTGACAGCAACAGCAACAGGGCAAAGGACGGAGAGAGCAGAAAGACCCTTACCCCACTTGTCTCTGTTGGGAGGCCCCACTCAGGTCTCCCAGGACAGGCACTGGTTCCCACTTTCTCTTCTGACTTGTTTCAGCACCCTTCCGCAAGGGGCTTGGTCTCCTTCACCCAGAAGAACCCATCCTCAGGAACAGCGTGGGTTGTGGGGCCGGCCTCCGTTGGACCAGCCTCCTCACCACCTTCCTGAGCGCACGAGGAGGCCTCCAGTCACACCAGAAGCAGAACCCTGTCTCCCAACTCCAAAGCCACTGTCTACTGTCCTCCCTAAGCTTGGCTCCAGGGGCAGTCCCCACCCAATGGTCCTCAAGGGCTGGGGCGGGTGGGGAGGAACCACTGTCCTGGGGATGGCTGGCAGCAGAGGTGGCTGCCTTCTCGGGGTTTCCCTCTCCTCCCAGGTTCTCCCACCCCTGGCTGAGCTTTTCTCTCTGTGCCTGCTTCTGTCCATGCCCCATCCAGAGCCCAGTGTTTATGTGGCCTCAAGATTTGGGATGATCCCCCAACAGGGAAGAGTGGGGAGGCATTCGAAACCTTCCACCATGCGAGGCGTCATGGATGCTGTCAGTCAAGATGCTGGCCCCGCCTCCCTGAGAAGTTAAAACACATGACCCACACTAGGCGAATAGTAGGGAGTGGATAGTCCCCCTCCCCAGCCACCAAGGAGAAGCACTGGTATCATCTGCCCTGAGCCTGCAGTTCCCAAGGTGGGGTGCCTCTGGGCAGGCTGTCAGTGTGACCCGGGCTGTGCCAGGGACCTGGAGCCTGGGACACGGTCAGTTCACTGTCCTGAGGGCCCATCCTGGCCATCAGCGGAGCACGTGGTGTGACTTTGCTCTAGTCCCTCCACCTCCCTGGGCCTAGGTTTCTCGGATGAGACCAGGAGTGAGCCCCCAGGTGACTTCTGTCCTTGTCCACCTGGGAGGCTCAGGCTTATGCTTGTAGAGCCTTAGCTGGGTGGCCATTATGTGCCTGGGGGCTGCACGAAAAGGGCCTGAGGGCGGAGGGGTGGCCTGTGCCCCAGTGCTACAGCACCAAACAGTGCCAGTCCTTGACCTCACCCACAAACCTGGGGCAGGGGGCATGGATATGATCTCTCCCAGGTGGGCCCATGAGGATGGACAGCGAAGGACATTCCAGGCAAGGAGGCAGAGGAAGGGCAGGCCAGGCAAGGAAGGGCAGAGGAGACCACAGGTGTGCCTGGAGGCGTCAAGCAGGCCTGCCTTCAGGGAAAGTGTTTCCAGGAGAAACAAACCCTGGTGTTTCCAGGACAGCAGCACCGACTGCAGCGCAACTGCAGAAGGAACTCTGTCCCTCCGGGGAAAGAATCCCCACTCCCCAAAGGCTGGAAGGAGGTGTTGGCCTGGGGACAGCCCCTCACCCCCCACCCACTGGAGCTGGAAGTGGGTGGGGAGCAAGGGTGGAGCAAACACCGAGATCGGAAGCGGGAGGGGAAGGTGAGAATGGAATCCGCAGAAGACACGCCCCCTCTGTCTCCAGGGCACCCGGCGCTAGGGAGAAACTCTCCAGCGATTAACAGCAAACTCTGGGCTTTGTGCCCCGCAGCTTCTGACTGGGTGACCGACCGGGAAGTTCTAACTCCCTTCAACGCACATCACTTCCCCAACACACTCCCTTTTCAACGAGTCTCTCGCCCAAGAAGAAGCAGGCTCCGACGCCACAGGTTTAAATACTTAAGGCCACCGCTAGCCACTCCCGCCAGGGCTCTCAGCGCTGGCCGGGAGCTGACGCTTTATTCAAGCCAAATTCAAGTAGATGAAGAGCGAACAAGGGCAGGTGCTGGGGAGAGAAGTGGGACCAAACAAGGACAACCAGCCGGTCCTCTCTGCAACTCCCGCCGCCAACCACCCTTCCCCCACCCGCGATATCTAACCTAGCCTCCCGATGAATCCTGGTGAATAAATTAACCCTCAAGGTAAAAGCAGAGAAGCCAGAGGCCCAACAGAGAAGTACCGTGCCCGATGCCCACGGCTGGGGCACGGGAGAGCCGGGACTGCACGCCCTCCCGGGGACAACGGCATGGGAGAAACCCCAGGGCCGCGGCCGGGCCTCGGAGAAGGTGCCCCACACCGGCTCGCTTGGCCCACCTACCACCCCCCTTCCGCCGCCAGTAGCTCACAAAACCGCGTAGGAAGGGGCGGCGTTCCAAGGCGTGACTCGGCCCCTAGGGTCTGGCCAGAGCGGTTCAGTGCCCTCCAAGGCCAGCCGAGTAAGGGATCGGCCCCGTAGCTCGAACCCCGCTGGACAGTTGCGAGGGACGGGGTGGAGTCAGCCCCCAAATATACAGCCGGGGGAGGGGACCCTGTTTCCAGTGCGCGCCGGACGGGGATGGGGGAGGGGAGAGAGATGAGCCCGGGACCTCGGCGCGGGGGGCAGTGGGGCATCCTCCCGGCAGTCCTGGCCTCCGCCCAGCCACGGTGCTGCCCCGGCGCCCCAGACCTACCGTCCGAGCGTGCCCGGAGAGAATAGACACCTGCCACCGTGGATAGCCCGGGCCTGAAGTCAATTTACGCCCACGAGAGCCGCCCGAGGCAAGAGCACTGTAGTCCCCATTCACACACGCAGAGACCCCCGCCAGCGGGAAGGCGCGAGGCCAGGGCGTGTTGGTGGGCCGGCCTCCCTCCCCGGACCCCTTGCCCCGGCCAGGCCCGCCGCCTCCTTACCCCCAGCGCATCCAGCCAGGAAGTCCAGCGCCATGGCCGGGTCCCCGGCGAGGCCGCCCTTCCTCCTCGTACTCCCCCTGAGGCCCCTTGACGGGCTGGGCGCCGTCGGGGTCCCGGAGCTCACGGTGCCGAGGCTGGGCCTGGCCGCCCCTCCTGGCGCGAAGCCAGGGCAGGCGCGGTCGGGGACGGTGGGGACGGTGGGGACGGCGGCAGCGGCGGGGCCCGCACTGGTCCCTCGGCGGCGGCGGACTCGCTGGATCCCCTCCGGCCGGCGGTACCTCACCTCGGGCCGCGCGCCCCGCCCCTCGCTCCTGCCGGCAGGGCCCGGGCAGGGGCGCCGAGCGAAGCCAATGGGCGGGCGCGGCGCGGACAACACCCCGGGCACTGCGCTTCGCCGCCGCGCCTCATTGGCCGGTCGTGCGCGGGCGGGCGGGGCGCGGGGGACGTGGCGGGCGCGCGGGCGGGGCGCGGGGGCGCCTCAGACAAAGAGCGCGATGGGTGCGTTGGTCCGGCGGGAGGGGACGCGCAGGGCCGCGGGGTTGCCCCGAGGACCCCCCGGAGTGCGCGGGGCGGTGCTGGCCCGAATCGGGCCGGGAACCGGACCCTGGGTTTGGAGTCCGGCGCCGCCGCAGAACCTCAGCGCCCTCGCCTGTGCCGTGCGGACACTGCCGCGATAACGGCAGTGGAGAGCCTGGACCCTCCGAGGCCCGCAGGCTGGGACGCCGCTAGTTGTGAAACTCCGCGAGCAGGAATCGCCCCTGTGGAGCCTCCGCCCGTCCCGCCTGCGCGCCCGCGGCGGCGGTGGCCTCCGGGGCTTCTGGCCGAACCCGCCGCGTTCTGAGGGTCGGACGCGCACAGGCGCTTCCGGCGGGGCCTGAGGCTGGGATTTGGGCGGAGAGCAGGGAACCTTAAAAGGGAAAGGGACCGTAGGGCAAAGGGTGCAGCCAGGCCTTCGGGTGACCGCTCCTTCCCGTGGAGTGCGGGTCGCGGGAGCCACGGAAGGTTGTGGAGGGAGGGAGGTTCCTGGACAGGGCTGCGGAGTGAAGCCGGGCCAGATCGCAGCGCCTCCTTCAGCGGAGGCCGGACGGGGCGAGACCGGAGGGGCTCGATAGGGGCCGCGCTCAGGCGCTGAAGTCGGAGGGCGCTTGGCTCTGGGTCACCAGGGTATCCATGGGCTGCAGGGATGAATGAGAGCCGAGTCTGATTCGGCCCCCCAGGAGTCCCTGACATTCACAGTGGCAAGGGACCCCCCTGGTCCCTGTGGAGGGTCCCAGTCGGTGACTTCCCGCCAGCCCTTCCCCAGTGCCTCTGGAGGTCGACTGTCGGGTTGGAGCCTGGGAGCAGGGCCGGGCCAGGCTCTCTCTCTTCACTGTAGGAGTCAGATCACAGCCTTAGGCCGGGCCCAGCTTCCTTCTTTAGGGCCTGCAGGCAAGGCCACACTGTGTGCCACGTTTCCAGGTTTAGGGTCCCATGGTTCTTTTGTCCGAATTCCAGTGGGTATCTACCTCCTGGAGGGGCAGGTCGGAAAGGTTCTGTGTATTTGGTACCAGGACACACAGGTAGGTGTTGTCAGTAGTGCAGCCTGGTGCTAGGGGCGGGGGTCCCCAATACTCATATTAGTTTCCTTTTAGAGTCTAAGTAGAATGTTAAGCAGAGACGGAAACCCTAGGTCGGCTGACTCCTAGTCAAGGGCTGGTGATGGCTGGTGGGCCCTGAACGAGGGGTCTGGAGGCCTGGGTTTGAATATCACCAGCCTCTCTGACCCACTTGGGTGCCTCAGGGAGGCAGGTGTGGGGATGGGGGAGAGTGGCCCATGGGCCAGAAAAGCAGTGGTATGGGGGCCCCAAGAAAAGCCCAGACCCAAAAGGGCAGGAGCTGGCTGTGGGGATACTCAGGTGGCTGGAGGCCTCCTGCAGACACGGTGATTACACTGGACAGCCTACATCTAGTCACTTACCTTAGGAACAGGGTGTCCTTGGGATGCTGGAGGGCTCTTGAGGTAAACCACAAATCCCTGCACATTCATTCCTGGTTGAGGTTTGGGAGGAAAATCCAGTACCTTAACAGCATGTGGCAATAGTGAGAAAATGATGGAAACTGATAAGGAGACAAGCATGACCTGTTTTTCTTTGTTATTGAGAGACTGCACATGCCTTTAAAGTTATGCTTGGGGCAGGTTGCACTGAGCTCTGAGTAACCTTGGGAAGGTTACTGGGGTCCTTGGGAAGGGGCCTAGTAGCCTGGTAAAGAGTAGGCACTCCATAGTTGAGCTTAGAAACCTCCTGGGGTCAACCAGGCGCGGTGGCTCACACCTATAATCCCAGCACTTTGGGAGGCTGAGACGGGCAGATCACGAGGTCAGGAGATCGAGACCATCCTGGCTAACATGGTGAAACCCCGTCTCTACTAAAAATACAAAAAAAAAAAATTAGCCGGGTGTGGTAGCAGGCGCCTGTAGTCCCAGCTACTTGGGAGGCTGAGGCAGGACAATGATATGAACCCAGGAGGCAGAGTTTGCAGTGAGCCGAGATTGCGCCACTGCGCTCCAGCCTGGGCGATAGAGAGCGAGACTCCATCTCAAAAAAAAAAAGGAAACCTCCCGGGGTCCTTGGGAAGCGGCCTAGTAGCCTGGTAAACAGTAGTTATTCCATAGTTGAACTTCAGAAACCGCCTTGAGGGTTCAGTGGCTCATGCCTGTAATCCCAGTACTTTGGGAGGCTGAGGCGGGAGGATTGCTTGAAGCCAGGAGTTTGAGGCCAGCCTGGACAACATAGTGAGGCCCCATCTCTAAACAACACCAAACAAATAAACAAAAAAAATCTGCAGGATGTGGTGGCGCATGCCTGCAGGCCTGTAGTCCTAGCTACTTGGGAGGCTGAGGCAGGAGGGTCGCTTGAGCCCAGGAGGTCAGGGCTGCAGTGAGCTATGATCGAACCATTGTGCTCCAGCCTGGATGACAGCAAGACCCTATTTCAAAAAGAAAAAGAAACCTCCTTGCAGGGAGGGTCCCCTGGTGAGAGGGCTGAGGCAGGCCGTGTGAGGGAACAGTGGGACTGTGCCAGGCCTGGGAGATGAGTAGTGCGGGCCCTTAGCTGTGCACTTTGCAGGGAGAGCTTGGAGGAAGAGCTGGTTTGTGGGGAGGGCAGGGTTCTTGGTGTGTGTGTGGAGGGGGGGGCTGTTGGATTTGGGGACTAAGGTCAGCATGTGGGGGACAGTGGAGGACTGGGCTCTGGGACAGGTCTGCCTGACCTAACCCGCCAAGGGAACCTCAGGATATGGGTGCCAGGGGGCTGCCTTCAACTGGAAGCACCCTGAGGGCAGGTCTGTCCCCTTCATCTTGGTGTCCTCAGGGCCTGCACAATTGACATTGGGTGGGGGACATCAGGGAGGGGGTGAGGACAGGCACTGGGAGGGGAAGGGATCACGCAGGTGCGCTGCTGGGTTACTAAACTTTGCAAAGCCACATCTTCCTGAGCACCCTGTTTCCTGCTGCCTGGGAATCATGCACTCAGCCAGCACACTGCCCTGTGCCCTGTGCCCTGTGCCCTGTGCTGGGGAGAAGACAGACACAAATCTGTGACCTTCATGTCAGAGCTGAGGAGAGACCAGAAAGGAGGAGTGAAAAAGTTAGTGCCAAATAAATGAATCTGAATGCCCACATCTTGGAGTCTGCAGTATTACATCAGCAGCTGGGATCAGTGTCTATTGTTTTATTTCATTTCCCGAGGATAAGGTTACAGCACAGAATGTGCTTTCTCAAACTCCCATGTTCCACAGAGCCCTGGACCTCCCATGCCAGAGGAGGCAGGGCCCTGTGCAGCACTGAGGACCCCAGCCTTTAAGGGGCAGGCCCAAGGCCAGCACAGGAGAATCACAGGGCCGGAGGGACTGTCACGGGGCACCAAGGGTCAAGCCAGCTCACTGGAAAGGGTGTGTTGGAGTTTTCCTTGTGTACAGCTTTTATTCTTCTCATGCAAGACAGGTTCAGTTTGGAGAAATCAGAAACACCAGCAGGTAAAAAGGAAACGCAAGTCTCTGTCCCCACCCTGGAATCTTAGAACTGAGTGACCCCCTGCAGGAGCTGTTTGGGCTGGGAATGGGGAGGGACGCTGCAACTCAGGCTGCCAGAGGGCAAGTTGAGGGGGTGGGGATGAGGCACCAGCTGTGTAGAACTTCCCAGGAATTAGGCTGTGCAGGGGAGAGT